GTTTGTGTGTTTGTGTGTTTGTGTCACGCCTGGCGCTTTCCCGTATCTGTCATGTACCGTACCGTATCATCAAACACACCTGGCCACATACAGCTGGCCGCACTATTCAAATAGGGCTTTCAAACGCAAGTCGAGAAAAGGACTTTCAATGCTGATCTGCACTCTATATAGACCGTGGGTGTCAAGCATGCAATAAATGATTTACAGCACCTCGTACGCGCTCGTACACGGGCAATACCGGCTTGATACATGACCTCACGCCGGCTGACGCCGTTCGGTCATGTATCAGCCGGTATTGCCCTTGTACTCGCTTGTACTCGGGCTGTAAATCATACTTCCATTACCCCCTACCCCTACCCCTGCATGCAGTAATTCGTACACACTCCATTACCCCCTACCCCTACCCCTGCATGCAGTAGTTCGTACGTACACACTTATAACCATATTTGACCCATTTCCCCGCTGCCCCTGCATGTAATAATTAGTACCATACACATTTGTAGCCCGTTTTCCCTCCTTCTGCCCCTGCACATAAAAACCACCGTACATTTGATCTAATTACATCCCTTTATAGTGTACATAGTCGAGCTATACACATAATAATGCGCGCCCAGCTAAATGGGCGCGCTCATTAGTGCTGACCCGAATTTGCCAGCTGAATCTCGATATTTTGCGGCATAATTTTGCTCGTGCATCGTCGAAATTTTGCTTTCATTTTGCTAGGCCACTCGATATTTTGCTCCCTTTTTGCTCCAAAATTTGTGTCACGTGTGAGAAAACTGACCGAAAGTGGGTTACGTGTTGGCAAAAATGAGAAAAAGTGAGTCACGTGTTGGTAAAATTGTGCCGAAATGAGTCATGTGCACCGTATATGTGTAAAATCTCCCAATTCCCAACCAACACACCGATATTTTGCTCCATTTTGCCAGCAAATTCCCTTTCAAAATTCTTCGATATTTTGCTAGAAGAATTGCTAGCAAATTCGGGTCAGCACTAGCGCTCATGCATTGCACCGTACATTCTATTCTAGTTCACTCTGAGGGGCCGTTTACATGAGGAAAATAAGCCCGGGCTTATTCGCCTCGGGCTTATTTTTCAACCGTTTACATGACGGTTGTACGGGGCTGAGTTCAGGTGAGTGACTGCGAGTTCTGCGCGCATTATATTTTTCAAATCGCACATGAACGCAGTGGTAAATGTTCGTGTTTGATGAAATTTGGATCAAGAAATGCCGGCTCAGGTTTCTACTGCCTTTCCAATTGTCACTTATTTTTCGAGAAGGTGAAGGATGGGCTAGGACCTTCCACTGGACAAAAACCAGAAGAAAACATACCAAGAAATAAATAAAAGAGACGCACTGTCCACGGCCACATTTTCTCAGGTTCACGAGGCAAAATCGAAAAATACGGAAAAACTCGCTTATAAGCCCTTTTTGACCGTTTACATGACAAAATAAGCCCTGGGGGTTGGATAAGCTCGGGGGTCAAGGGTAGGGCTAGTTCAGCTCGGGGCGAGCTGAATAAGCCCGCCTGACCATGTAAACGCGCGCTCTAAAATGACTGGGTGACTGATCAAGGCGGGCTTATCGTAAGCCTAGGGTTGAATAAGCCCGGGCTTATTTTTCTCATGTAAACGGCCCCTATTTAAAGATAACCAAACTTCGATAATCTAGTCAGAAGTCGAATACATTCCCTAATGTTGATGTCTAATAATTCTGTCCTCGTCCCGTGAGATATATGCTTTACCGACTGTAATAAACTGGTATCTCTGGTGTGAACCAATAACGAAACCCGAACAGTCCGTGCGCCAAGTTCAAAAAGGCGTCTAAAAGTTGCACTTTTATTTGCAACCGCGGGAAATTTGAAGACGAATTTAGTGACATACCGAATTCTTCTCAATTTTCGACAATTGGTTACCTTGAGAATACAGGCTTATCCTCCTATATCGATTGCTTTTGCGCCGTTATCGTGTTAGAAGGGTGAGTGATGAGCACATTTTCGAAAGTGCACCACGATATTCGACATCTCACGTCGTTGCGGTGCCTTTTTGTTTCTCTTCTCAATTTCCCATTTCGTAGATACGTCGCAGGAGATTGTGGGCCGTCTTATTTTGCAAGGCTCTATCTCTGATAAAACTACGCGAATGGGCGGACAGATGGTGTTGCTATAGGCCAGGAAGAAACCACGAGTGTCCGCACTGTGACCAAGTCCAAATAGGCCGCCAAAGCCAGGGCTCGAAATTGCATCCTGACACGTCAGGCGAAATTACTGGTCAGTCGGCGTCACCCATTTTTCACAAAAATTTGCGTTTCACCTGCTGGGAGAGTATGCGTGTACTCGAGTCTCATCCTGAGCACGTTTTTTCTTCCTTTTTTCAGCTCCAGTATAGCTGTATTTTTCATTGCAAAGCCGTCCTCGATTGTTGTGTTCGTTGTTCAAACGAAGTGGACATTCAATCATGAAGACAGAGGACATAGGAGCCTGATTGGAGTTTCTCGTGGCATAGGACGGCCACACAGAGACACTTTGGGATTTTCTGAATATAAAATACCGTACGCACGATGCTGAGATCAATTTGTGCGATATCAAATTGTTTGTGATCTACCACATCGAGCAGAACGGGATCCAAACACAAGCTTACCGACGGTAAGGCTGCCGACCTGACTGGACAAATGATCCCTGGCTTCACCAGACGCCAGACGTCGGACACGATGTCCTTTGCCGCGACGTCCATCTCCAAAAAGAACTCCATCTTCGTCGTGAAAAGGCTTGAAATACTCAATATTCAACCGAGATTCGCGGTCTCACCCTTTCTCAGATCGAATCATTTTTTGTTGTAGCAGTTGCAGGGCAGATCCCCGCCACTACTTCAACAGAAGATGGCTCCAAAGCATGCCTGGAACAAGCCATATCGAGGTTGCAAGCCACCCCTCTCAGCACTTTTTTTGAAGAAATTCGAAATTTCAATGGTGGAAGATATACTATGAAGAGAATTTCAAAAAGTATATTTCGCGGAGCGATCGCTCAACCTACGTCATTCAAACTTTGCAGGATGGTTCAGACGTACATGCTAGGCATGGAACCACAGAAGATGATATCATAGCTGACACACAGAGTCACACACACAGCAGATTCGTGTGCACAGATACTAAATTAGTGGACGTCGTCATCTTCTTCCCGCTGATCTCAAATGTACGATGACGTGCTATTTCGCCTGACGAGGCAATGCGGACCATATGTAGCCTGCCAAGATGTTCCCCTTGATGGCAGATATGCCCACCCCGAGACCACGCAATGCTGGGAATATGCACATCATCCTACAATACCACGAAATGCATGTATCTGCAAGAAATGCATGAAAAGGCTCATAAATCATTCAGCAGAGCCAATGCCTGTCACTGACAACGTGCAGCCTACAGAAGCAATGCCTGCACAGCATGTTGCAGCAGCAGCACCAGCACCACCACCAGCACCAACACCTGTACCCGTACTCGCAACAACACCAGACTGCTCAGTAGATGGTTGTGACTTGCCACGGCATGTCACAGTTTCATTACAAGCAGTAGAGCAGTAGACTTTCATTACAAGCATTAAACGATCAGCCAGCGGGTCTCTGCAACCGGCATAACATGCAGCTACATGACAGCAACAGGCCCACATGCACCATGTGCAGCGCACAAATAAGGAGTGTTAATTAAGCGTAAATGTCCGAACGTCGGAGCCGTTCAACGTCAGCTGCACGCTGAGCGTGGTCTTACGGTCACCGCGGATAGTGCTTTTTGCCTAGCCTGTTATAAAGGCCAACTGGATATGGTGGACAGTCAGACTACTGACTTCAAGCTGGAGAGCCTGATGCAGAGTATAACAGACGAAATGCACCAGTGCACCTCACCCGAGGAGTCCGCATTGTTGGCAACAGCAAGATTCGTCTGTCTTGCATTCCTCGAGAACCGTTCTCTTCTTCTGGCAACGGCTGCTGATTTCTTCACCTCTTCTTTACCATCCATCAACTGCAACAACCGGTGGCTACTGTCCAGCAGGGAGTCGTCAAATACGTATTTGACGACTCCCTGCTGTCCAGCCTTATTTCGAAGCTTGGCGCTCATCTCAGCCATGGGTCATATGGTACCAGTAAGAAACGAGGTACGCTCCTGTACCGTACAGGGTGTGACACAGTTCTGTGCTTATACAATTCCCTCGCCGTTGCACGATCCGAGACCCTGAAACACAGAGCACAAAATGAAACCCAGCGCACACAGCACACAAGCCAACCCAGTGGCCCATCATCCTTCGTGTCAGAGCTGTCGGCTGCAATGCACTCACAAAATTAATCAAAAGTCAAGCACAAGAATTCAAACACAAAGAGCATAACGTTCTAACTTCACTGTCGGAAATGAAGCTGGACGCAGTGGTGGATAGTGTGGACAGTGAGTTGTGGGGACACATTTGGCTGATGATGTACGGCCAATCAAAGTCAGAAGGAAGTCAAGCATCCAACCACCGTGCAAAGAGGATCAGGTGCTTGTTTGTGCTATCATGTATGTAGTCCACAGGCCAAGGTGCAAAAAAGTGACTTTTCGTTCCCGTTCGAGGGGGACCAAGGTTTGACATGTGCAAATGATAGAGAATACATAGAGCTTTCAGGATCTGTGTCACTTGACCCAGAAACATGGGGCTTTGTTGACCAAATCAACGAAATACTTCTTGAAGAGTGTTACCATAGCAACCAAAGTGATAATTCCCAATTTAGGTATCTTGCAGATTAAATACCAACAGTGTTGCTTTGGAATGAAGTAGCCAAGGCCCAGACCTAGCTGTGTACACATTTTCATGATGATCGGAGGTGTTTTACTACCTCAATAGCATTTCTTAGAATAGAACACAATAGCGTCAATACACGGAATGCAATATACACTAACCATGCTTATGCAATCAACGGAATTCCGCCACTACACCTTGCAGTTCATTTTCCGCGTTTCTCTCCTCATCAAGCCCCACATACTAGTAGTAGTACTGTTCTTTCAATCAAATGAACCCCTCGATAGGCATACTGCCTTTGGGTCATTTCACAATAGTAATACATTGTAATAATGTATGTCACATTTGAGAACATATTATACAACAAGGAGCCTGCACAAAATAGGAAATAGGACAAGTACACTAGAAGGATAATTTATTATTTCCTAGCATGAAGTCTCTGATTATAATAATAAAGTCTTAGTACTGGCATAATCTGTAAAGTTACTATTACTGTCACGCTTTCATGGGTCTCCGGACATTCCGATCATATTTCATGCCTAACTTTTCTGGTATAGGAGCTCCAGTAAGAAGATCATAGGTCCTCTGGAAACAATTTAAAATGAAGGTACAGGTTAAATTATAATGACAATATTACAGTCATGTAGATAATATGATAAGAAGAAGATGTGCTATCACCCGTGCTGCGGGATGCGGTTGTCGGCCAAAGAAAGACAGTTCCGGCATCCACTGATGCTGACACAGATCTGTCATAAGATTTGTTGCAAGATATCCCAGAGGTGGTGGGACACTCTAGAGCTGGCTGCTATCCATCATGCACATGATTGCTCAACCTGAAAAAGATAGAAAGAAAGAAAAAAGACCATCGCACAATGATTGTGTCCCGTTAGCAGCAAGCCGCGTGACGGATCTACATACATGGCCAAGTATAGTCAGTATGGACAGGTGCTCATTAGCAGCGCATCTCTCATGCTTAAAGACTTGGAAGTTAATACAGCACAGAGATAACGGCAACTAGTGATTGCTTACAAGTTTGTCAGTCCCGAATCCTTACGGTTGGCTGGCTGCTATCAGTCATGAGCTGTGTCACTGCAGACCCTATAACACACATACGAGAATATAACGCTTTGTAAGTATTGAATTCAAGTTCACATTACTTAAAAGGATTTGACCAGCCATGTACACCAATGGTATAAACAGTTACTATCATAAATATCTCTCACGTGAAGCATTCATTGACGGCATTATTTTAAAACAAAACAAGGTATCAATGACTACTTACAAATCAGTTTCAGGTGAGATGTGTTGGGTCGTAGGCAATGCTGCATGCTGCTCTGGGTAGTTTGTGCATACTACTGAAGAGTGGTGCCGACAGGTGCAAGCATCTGTACACAACAGCATATGCCGGCGGCACGAGATGCATGGCCGGAAATACCAGATTCAATCAGCACATCCAAAAGTCCAGCATCTCTGAATCGCTTTCCGATAACGGCCATGAATGTGCATGCAACATGAAAAGCACCAAGCCGCAGCACAACTGATGAGAACTCATCTTGTCGTTGAGAAATCACATCCAGGGCCTTGGCATAGATGGCTTGGTCAAAAACAATCAGTGAGAAGGCCATTCCTGCACGCTCGCACCGGCTGACGCATTTCTTGAGGATACCATACACTGTGGAAAGTTCAGTAGGAGAAGCATTCACGACAGGACAGTATGCAAGCACGGAGCGAGGAGGGGTACTAGCACTGGTTGTAAGACCATTAAATGCTGACCACGATGGCACATCTTGATTGGGATTCTCTTCGGACAAAGACATCACAGGATTGCAGAGATCTGCATCCCGACACGCCCTCACAAGCCGCCACGCAAAGTCTACAAGACCAACAGCGTCTGTACCATCGTGCTTTACACCATCCAACTGCTCTATTGTAGCATATGGAAATCGTGGCGGGTTGACCTTCTGTCGGCCAACAAAATCCGGGAGCGATTCTGGCTCTAATGAAAGGGCTCGCTTCCGCTTCTTTCCCCCAGAGCTCTCAGTAGCAGCCATCGGCTGTGTAGCGGACTGCTGTTCAGGCTGTGTAGTGGATGGCTGTTCAGGCTGCACAGCGGGCTGCAGTACAGGCTGTGGAACGGACTGCTGTTCAGGCTGCATAGCGGGCTGCAGTTCAGGCTGTGGAACGGGCCGCAACACGGGTTGGACCACAATGGTGTTGGTACAATGGGTCGTGCCCTTTCCATCCAATGTCTCCTCGTTAAGGTCGTTGTTGTCAGCAACGTGGAAGAATGGCATGGAGAGATCGACAATATCCGGAAGGCCGTCAGTAGCCTCCCTGCTGTGGAGTTTACTTTCGGCCATCCGTGTCTCTCTCTCCAGCACCTGGGCGTACGCAATGCTGTGGCCAAATCTGTTCAGTATGGTCACAAGTCGTTCACTTCTGTACAGATGGTGTACAGCCAAACCAAGAGCAACATGCTTTGGTGGCACGATAGTTGTGCACTGGAACACTAGGTCCTGTGCAAAGGACATCACACAGCGGTTGAGCGTGGAATCAACTTCAAGCTTGCTGGATGCTGCTGGTATATTGTCATGCTGGCCTGAGCTCAAAAACCACACAAGGAAATTGTGGAGCAGGGCAGGAATGCACTGCTCAGCTTGCTTCACTGAAATCATACCAGTGCTGCTGCCAGGACTTGTGCTTGTAGTGTCGAAACTCTCTGCCTGTTGCTGACAGGCATTCCGCAGGAGCCTAGCCGAATGGTATACCAGACGTATGCTGTCCTGCATAATAACAGTCTGGTGCACATCCACTTCAGCGGGGCGTCTGGGTGCTCTTGTTCCATAGTTGGTAGACCTACTGGTAGTGGTACTAGCGATACCCTCTTGGCTCTCACAGGCGCTAGCACTAGGACTGTCACCAGATTCCTCACTCTCGCTTTCGCTCGCAGCGTCCCTGTCATACAGTCGTGCTATTATCACTGGTGCACGTTCCGTGGCGTAAACCAACTCGGATTTATTCCGTGCGCGGGGACGAGAGAACGTTATGGACTCGCCATACTTATCCATTAGTAGTCCCTTGACTCTTTCGTTTCTCGCTAGCGCTGTCCCTTCTATGGACACTTGATTGAACAATCGAGTCAGGTCACTGACGGTCCGAACCAAACATTCCACAAACAGCAGCGTTTCTACTTCAGTAAAAAAATCTTTATCAATCTCGGTGCCCGCACTGGCAACAGGCGCACAAGTGGCTGCGCTCTCGCCCTGATCTTGCAGCCTAGCAAGTGTTTTGGCCCGAGTATATTCTCGGTAGCAATACTTATGATAGTACGCTTCGCGTGCTTCAATTTCTTCTAGTTCTGCAGTGCCGCCCCACGTGCCGCGCCACGTGAAAGCGAAATTCAAATTTGAGCAGGCTCTCCGCGTACTCAAAATTGCAGGAGACGACAACTGCGCACTTGGGGTCGTTCCGAAAATTGGAACCAAAAGGGCTTACTCCGCACGAAAGCCCCAGCTCCGGGGATACCCAAAAGTAGTTTCGAGTAGCCCGAGGGGTCCTCTTTCGGTTCGCCACAACCAAACTTGGTCCCCCCTGAGCGGGAGCGAGATTTTTTTATCTCGAAAAATTTCAACCCTGGCCTGCGGACTAATGATGCATGCAAGCACACCAGCATGCACTTACCCTTTCCAGCTTGTTCTTTCGGACTTTGTGGATGCACATAGCAATTCCAGCGAGCTCATGCGAGTACTAGCTCGAGCCGGCGCAACAGCAGGTGTCGACTCCTACAAGCGATATCAAAAGACCATCATTGATAAGAAATCAGAGCTCGGAATGAACAGTGAGATACCTCGCGCAAAGTTCTCCATTGCAACAGTGGATAATATCGACAAAAACGAGCCAGGCAAGTGAATGTACTGCGGAGACCAATCAAGAGGCTTTCATGGTACATCTATTCAGAGCATCACACCAAAGCCCATCAGTAGCAATATTGTCGCGTGCAACAACATACATGTACACCGAGTGCCACATCAAGGATTCCACTGTGCATCACAGCCTGCCAACACGAGTGAACCACAGGGTATGAGAGGCAGGTCCCGTGCAAGAACAATGATTGAAGGCCAGAAGCCACAAGTCGACCATCAGAGCACGCAGAGACACTTACCTACACCCACCCCAGTCACAGCTGGATGATGACGTTCAGCCTGATTGGCCCACTGGACCTACAGTAGTGTAGTGCTGTTGATGACGAGCGCACAAGACCATCTACAGAAAGCACAGAGAATCCAGAAAATAGGGCAAAAACCTGTGACACAACTATCACACATGATCAAGATAAGGCTGCAAGTACAGAATGTTCAGTATGCAACACCCAACCAGCGCCAGATGTGCGTGCGTGCGTGTGGTGTGTATGTGTGTGGTGTGTATGTGTCACTTGTGTGTGTGTGTGTGTGTGTGTGTGCGCGCGCGCGTGTGTGTGTGTGTGTGTGAGTGTGCATATGTGTGTGATGCTGAATTCGAAGACACATGCTCTCACAATGCATTCGCATATGCTGCGGACGCTGAGTCTCCAGCTCTTGTTTTGTTTCAGGCCCTGCACTTCTGTGCAGCTGTGCTAAACTACATAAAAAGTTTCTTTGACTATGTACTCCATCTATAATTATGTAATGAACGTCCTACCATCTGACCATGGTACATACAAAAGAAACTGTTCAACCGACTACCTTCAGCCAGAACTTTAGCAAACTAGATTAGCAGCCAGGAATACTGCTGGATTTTGATTAAAATCTGGACCCCAACCACACGACTTACATAGAAATTCCGTTTAGATGTCGAAGACACAACAGCAAGGGGACTAGTTTGCAATGTCGAGATGCCCAAGGAAAATAAGCAGCCAAAACGTCCTTGTTCAAGCACAATTACTTTAGTGCAAAATTCCACACAATTCGACATACCTCCACGAAATTGTGGGCCGCTCCATTTTGCATAGCCTCATTGGGATGTGCTTTGGGAATCCAAACCCAAATATATCTACCTTTCGCTTAGAGCATAAGCCGAGAGTGTCCGATTATGCTATCCACTCCAGCACGACAAGCAAGTTGATGGTACGATTACGACGAAAAAATATGTAGTGCAAACACAGGTCTTCATGGTCTACAGTTGGGCGCAACGAACCTCAGCTAAAGTGCCATAGGTTACAAAGGGACATACCTCAGCTGCAAACCAGTTATGAACAAGGATTCCTCCAGCACACGCCAGTTCAGGTCCAAATAAGGTTGCAAAATACCAACAAAACAATTGTGTCGTCGTCATCTTTTTGCACCTCGATTTTTCCCGCGGTTGCAAATAAAAAACAGGCTACTCAAGGGCTTGGCGCACGGACTGCGAATAGACAACACAATAAAGCCCGTCGTCAATGGCATCCCGTACTCTGTCAGCCTAGCTCTGCAGGGGTCTGTGGCAGTTTTTCGTTGTCAGCTCAGTTCACATCTCACATTCGACTGTGAACATGCTCTGGTACCTGGAAACAGCCTGTCCGAAAACGGCATGAAAAGTGTCTACACATCGTGGTCAGTTTTCAACTCAAGTTCTTGTTGTTGTGAGTGGAGATGAAATTTTACGATAGTTGTGAATAAGCGAAAGAGCATGCACCCATCTATCTGCTAAGAACCAAGCTGAAATAAGTGGCAAACATCGCGATCAGTTTTCCACTTTCTGTTCTACATGTACCGGTACTAAAAAAAGGAGTTGACGAGTTGCCGAACTTTTCTGATAATTTTGAGGAAGCGAAAGATCATGGACCAAGGATCATCCTGTCCCTCCAGAAACTTGCGGAGACATTTCGGAAATATCGCGGAAAAAGTTGCGAGGTTAAATGCCACAAATTGCGGGGAATATTGCGGATTTTGTCAAATATTGCGGGATTATTGTGGTAAAATTGCGGCCGATTTTGGTACTTGTACTGTAGTGGTGTACGATGTACGAGTCGTACAGCATAAATCGTGCATGACAAAACAGAACGTGTGCTGCGCTGACTGTGTTCAACTGCCTGTACTGACAGGAGCTTGCAAGACAGCTTTCCTCCATCCTCGGACAACACTCGACGCGAGCCTTATTTTGCGACTTGTCAGCCGCTGATTTGCCCAGAAACTTCTCCATTCTGCTGTCGATCTCACAAGTAAACTACTGACGAGCTTGAAGAGCTAAACAACATCGAAGAAAGACCCGAATATCGCGGTTGATTTTCGAAATATCGCGGTGCTTTTCAAGTATCAAGGACATTTTTCTACAATAACGCGAATGATTTTTCAAATATCGCGGATATCACGGACTTTTGTTCAAATCGCGGAAAACAACGCGGCCGCGGAATCGCAAGTTCCTGGAGGGACAGATCATCCCATCCATGAGAAGCGGACGGAGCTGAAACTCACAAGCTGAATCCACCACGTCCCCGACCACCACCCCTATACGTGTCTTGCTTTTATACCAGAAAGGCGAAAGACAAAACCTGAAACACCATCATAGAGGTCTGGCAGGACTTTTCGCCTTCATCAAGGCCTCGTGCGTACGGCCGCGGGCGCAGGCCTCGGCGCTACGCGCCTTGGCCTGCGCCCTTGGCCGTACGCACGAGGCCTTGATTCAGCCGTAAAGTCCTGCCAGACCTCTGTCAGTCTACTTCATTTTGCTTGACATGTGCAAAATATCTCCGAATTCTTCGAGACCCGTTCTTGAGTAATCCCAGTTTCTTCGACTTCTCTTTTCTTCTTCTTCTAGAAGCTAGAGAATATAAGAACGCACCCCAAGTTTTCGAAGTTTCGAGCTTTTTTTCTGTACTCATTCCCAGACTCGAATTTTCTTTTCTTTTTTTTTCCATACACAACTCTTTATTGCACTCAGAAAAATAATAAGGCACCCATTTTGATAGTCCAGGGGATGGCCCACGCCTGGTAAAAAGAATAAACAGAAAAAGAAAAAAAAGAAAATAATAAGGCACCCATTTTGATAATCCAGGGGATGGCCCACGCCTGGTAAAAAGAATAAAATAGAAAAGAATCATGACAAATAATAATAATAACAAAAATGTACATGTCTGACTTTAGTTCAACAGTCCTGCAAGGAAACACGTGCCTCGGCTACCACTACAGACGCGGGGTCCCTGGTGACACGGTGTGCGGATGATGATCTTGCCCCACGAAGGCACATCACGCTAGCTCGGACTAATGCAAAGCTTAGCTTGCAGCGAAGCCATGCCATCGTCACGGAGTACGGCTCCTTCAGCTTGTCAGATAGCATGCTGGCAAGACGCTTGAACAGGGCCGATGCACACTCGAATTTTCTTTCGAACTTTCGCATTGCTAAACGTCCTTAGTAAATTACAACAGACCCCAAAACTTCAGCGTGCCAGCCTTCCTATCTCGCTGTACACAATCAGCGGGCGCGAAGGAACTGCTCAGTTGCACCAACAGTGCGGTGGAATGGGGTGGGGGGGGGGGGAGGAGAGGAGATTGAGCAGGTGCCGCCAAAATACACCAGGGCCAACGTACACAAAGCGGGAGGTCAGGGGAAAATATCGTACAAAGCAAGTCCATCAGGCTGGGTCAACGTATGCTAAAAAAGCGGGAAGTCAGTGCGTGCACCGCAGGGGGCAAAATAGCGTACAACTCTAAGCAAACTGCCGACCAGCCAAAAGGATGTATCGGCTGATACGGACATGAACTGAATTGTGCCATCAATCATACTTCGTGAGTTCACGACAAGATCATCGTACATACAAGGTAGTGCTACTGTGCATGCGGCTGGTCACAGTCACATAGGCTTACCATGTGGCTATGCAACATGAGTTACATGACCACAATAGTTGAACCTGCAGCACTACGACCCAACGCGAGTCAGATCAGAACTGCTTTGGACGGATGTTATTACTACAGGTGATATACTTTGTACTGATCTGGCATGTTTCGCTACACAAAGTCCATTCTTAGGACCGATATATTCTACTGTACGATAAAATTGCTTGCAAGAATAAATGTGCACATGAAATCCATGTTATGATTATGAAAACATGAGAGTTCATTCTTGTTTTTTTTTCTTTCTTTAAGTTCATTCTTGTCGGCAGTATATTCTTTTACACCACCACACTATAACCGATACGCACTGTACTTTACGGTACTAGTAACCAAGAGTACATAACCCCCGTTATGTACTCTTGGTAGAACACTAGGGATGGAAGATTTCTGTTGTAAGTAGTCAATTTCGCGCTTCAGTCCTCCTCTTTTCATTTGAGTAACGTCCAAGAGGGAGCTAGAAACGTTCACCCCGAGATTGTATCTGCAGACTTTCGAACAAGGGCTCGTGTGCGTGTGCAAGCTAGAAACATGGAGGTCGTGCTACTTCTTTCACTCTGTGAGTACGAGTATGCAGACAAGATTGTGCCTAGACTAACATTGATTTAATTTTTTTACAAGGGATGAAACTCGTAGACTAACTGTCGTTAGATTTTTTTGTAATTGTGGCCAGTCTTGAATAATGGCTGGGGCGCTGTGTTCCACCCTAATACAGCTGGTGAATGCTGGAAAGGAAGTCTTGTAATTCCGTTGTAACTTGGAGTTTTAACTTAACGATGTGGGAAACAAAAAAAGGTCTTCAAGGTGGTTCAGGAGAACTCGGGGCTAAAACGGTACACATCAAATAGATGCAACGTCACAGCTGCCTGTAAATCAAGTACCGGTAGAAACTGTAGAACCGAGGACGAAACCATTAGGCAATTCAATAATAGTAGAAAGGAAAAGGACGTATGGAAACGAGTTAAAAGAGTAACTCTCCACCACTGTAACTAGAGAGTTAGGGTTACTCTTTACTCCTTTCGTCCTTTTCCTTTCTACTTTTATTATTGGCTCAATACCCGAGTTTCAATTCAATAATGCAAGAATATTTTATTCAAATGTAGAATAGACGAAATCCATATCCAATTTTATTCAGTATCGCTTTCTCTGACAAGCTTTGGTAAGCGAAACAACTGTCAGAAGGAATATCAGAAACAAGTAACCATAATCCCTTCATTTGGTTTTGCGGAGCAGATCCATTACAACTGTACACATCTTGATACCAGCTCTGCATAAAAGGTCGTCAACTTTATAAGATTATGCTGATAAAAGTACTAGAATGGGTTCTACCAAGAGTACATAACCCCCCAGAGTGTGCAACGCCTGATCCAGCCCTGCATAGGGTCTTGGTCGAGCATATTAGGATCTTTGCGTCTTAATACTGTACACATCTGAGGGGAACCCGGGGAGTCGCGGGTACTCTTGGATCAACAACAATGGTGTCCTGCCTTGAGACCGGCCTTGCGCTGGTGTGGAGTGTACGCATGACATCAGAAGATCCGATTCCGCTCGATGAAGACCCTATGCAGAGCTGGAACGGCATTGCTCACTCTGGGGGGTTATGTACTCTTGGTTCTACCTGCAAAGTAAGGGGGGGGGGGGAATTTGTAAATTCATATTGATTGCTACGTCAGTTGAAAGAGCATGAATAGCTGCAAATTCTCTGAAAAGTGTGTCCCGATCTGACCAGCCGTTCAAGAGTTATGGCCGAAAATGTGCCCTTGCAAGGAAAGATTTTTTTGTTGCACGCTGTCATTTGTTGGCAGCACTGTATTTGAATGTGAGCAGACCGTGCGCAACTTGTCGTATCATGGAAACACGTGAAAGTGTGCAGAATTTTGCTCCAAATCCAAAAAATCAGGTTTTTGAGCCACGTATTGGGCTGCACGGCGGCGGGGCGAAGCCCGCCGCCGTGCAGCAGGACTTTTGCCATTTTGCCAGCACCCTCGTTACGTTGCAGATATGTGGCTTGATTATTGTAGTTGACGTTGATTTAGTGACTTTGGCAAGTTTGAGTCGTGTAAAGAAGTCAGGTAGGATTCAGTACTAGGCAGTAGTGAAACGTGAGTGGTAGTCTTTGCCAGTTTCTGAGGGTATCCTGGATTTGGTGTGCAGCGCTGTGGAAATGGCTTGCTGTGGAGGTCCCAGCACTGGATGTTGTATCAAAGGTACGACCTCGTAGCACGTGCTAAACCTAAACAAATTCAAAAATTGACTTGGGTCTGTGGAAGTGTGTGAGAGAACGCCCACTCGTTCCGTTGTGACAGATTCCAGGGCCTCGTTGAGGGGCCCTACCCCATCACCCATGGCTGCTTCTGGACTTGTTCTAGGTTTGAGTCCCGCGCACGAACAGAATGAGCACGAAAATGTGAAAAAATTGTACTTGAGGTAAATGCATTTGTTTGGCTCCTGGGTGGCTCGCACACCGTGGCACTATGCCGGAAATTTGAGTTTTTCCGGCCTGGAAAGCCTGTCAGTGAGGCGCAAGAACTTGGAAATCATGTCCTGAGGGCCAGCATAGTGGCAGGAGTGTGTGGTCAAAATTTCACTCAAATCCATTGAGAAACACCAAAGTTACGGTCAATTGAATGCCATATGAAATTTATGGGTAGGCTGCCCCCTTAACGGATGACCATCTTTGATGCACATTCCCTATTTCAGCCACTTTACAGTCCATTCAGAAAAAGATGGGCTCTGGCTCTGGCGAGCTCCCGTATTTGGCGATTTTTCGTGATTTCATTGTACACAGTGCAGTTCTGCGAAATTTGAACTTTGAAAAAGGGTACCTGAACTGGGGTTCGAACCCCACAATGCACTGTTGCAGGCAGGGTCAAACGGCCTGGATTTTGATGGTTTTTTCCAATTCAATGCTTCTGGGGCAAAACCTGGCCGATATCCTATTCTTGTTATGGCTTGCTTTTTGGACAAATAGACTTCAGAAACATAATTGGAAGAGGATTCCATAGGGGATTGCAGAAAAAAATTCTAAAAAACTCAAAGTTTGACCCATTTATGGCCAAAAGCTAGAAGTCCATCTTTTTCTGAATGGACTGTAGAGCAGTTTTGTGCTTTCAAGTAGCCGCAAGTCTTAGCACCCAATAGACCTTATGTCAGCTGTACAGATCCACGCAATCCCGTAGAATTCCGTAGACTTGGTAGGGTGTTCATTGTGTGCTAGGCATGCGCATTTGACCAATTTTAGACTCATAATTTAATGGCAAGCAACCGCTTTTCCAGCTTCTTCACATTGGGTAGAGCTAATGACTGGTTAGATCTTTGTCAGAAAAAAAGGTTTTCATATGAAATGCCTTCAGGCCCCATTTCTTAGTGGAAATAGCAGAAAACACAATAGGTTCCTGCACATTCAAAACCCAACCGGGTCTACGGGATTCTACCGGATTTCGTAGATCTGTACAACTGCCATAAGGCTTATTTCATTTTATTTATTTATTTTATTACAGCATCTCATAGCACAGTGAGAACACCGGCCAATACAAAGAGAGAGGGTGTTAGCCAACCACGGCAAGGAAGGGAGAAGGGGAGGAGAAGAAAAAAGGAACCGGCATGGATAAGTAGTATTCAATCCACATTCCTCTGTACATCCTCACCCTCTAAGGGATACTGCCTTTTGTGCTACGTACATTAGTGAGAACATCATGAAGTTCGGGTTACTGAAAATCAAGGTGGGATGCAAATTTACTGGTGTTAGTAGTGAAAAGGAAGCCTTACAGGGTTTGTCACATTTTCCCCAGATGTAATGCAATGGACAGGGATACTAATTCCTTTCGGGGCTATCCGTTTTTACATTATACTTCCTGTGCTGATATGTCATCATTTCTTGTTACAAAATTCATCTGCCGGCGGGAATAAAAGGGAGATAATTGTGCTCATGTAGATGATTGACACTGCTGTCAGGTGACAGCTCTGTAGGCAACGCCCGTTTCTGTCCATCCTGTCCACAGGTGTTCTGCTTTATACTCTGATGTGTTGAATATTCCTTCAAGCTGCAACGACTTTATCTTACTGTTTGTTAGTTGACAGGTTGAGAAAGACTAAAGCCGCTTTGTGGTTTGAATTTTCAAGATCGGAAGATATGTTGCTTTTCACATTTTTATATTATTCTGTCATTTGTGACTATACTCCAATCCTGCTGTGTAAAGGTATTACAGCTGTATATGCTTCCGGCAGCTTCTCAAAAGGATGGAATTACAACCCTGATTCGCCTTTGGGTAAGTCATCCCTTCCATCGTGGGCATTGGCGAAATTTGATTACTGAAACAGAATGCAAGAGTTTGGCTGGTGGTGTTGCTATGCATAAAAGCACTGTTACCCACCAACATGAATAACTGAATTAATAAGTTATATAATAACGCAGTATATTATTGACCACTTACTTCACAATGCACGATCGAGGTTCGTGTCTTCGTATCAGAAAGTATGAAGACACAATACAGTCACATTGCGATATTAGCCAAGAAAATCTAACAAAATCGAAGGTATTGAGAAGTTTGGAAAGGATTGGGAGAACTTCAAATTCAAAGTATCAGTCGGGGAAGTGAACTGCCTAAAAGAGAAAAAAACGCCAGACCCACCAGGACTCCCAGGTTCGAGTCCTGGAGGGTCTGGCGTTTTTTTCTCTTTTCAGGCAGTTCACTTCCCCGACTGATACTTTGTATTGAGAAGTCTTCATACTTTCTGATACGAAGGCACAATCCTCGATCGTGCATTGTGAAGTTGGCTCATTGCCTTGTTGAGATCATCCGGAAAAGGTACTTTCTCGATAGAGATGGAATCATAAAGCTTTAGTTTCTGCACTCGTTTCTGCAAATACTTAGGTGCAACAGAGTAGTGTTGGCAGTCACGGAGTAGCCTGACACTGAATATAGCTGTATTGAGGCGACCACGGAGGGCAAGAACAAGATTCAATAGATCAATATGGGTGATTGGGAGGCGTTGTTTGAAGTAATTTAAACAGTGTCATGGCGATAAAAAATATAAGAGGGCAACAGTCATCAGCGTGGACAAAGACGGGCAAGGGGTCTGTACTTCCACCAGTGTAGCCCAGGTGTATTGCAGCTGTACAAGCGGGCAGCATGGGAGCTTCATGCACGCTGCAGAGCTCAAGGCCCTACTACTTACTACTGCTAATACTAGTGAGTACAGTAGTGTTGCGAGTCATGTATCCGTCAAGACAACTAACAGGACGGAACGTGCATACATGTATAAACTAGCAAAGATTGTACTACCAACAGGTACAGGTACATGTACTATAAAAATAAAGATAAAGAGCCTAAAGCACTAGTAGATGTAACAGGAATTCAACTCTCGGTTTGTGAACACGCTGCTACAAGACACTGAGCAAAGGAGGCCCAGTGTCCAAGTTTGCCTTCACGGTGCAACGGTTTTTAAAAGAGGTCGGAGGCGGATAATACTTTAAAAACAATGGTAAGTTTTGGGTCGCAAGTATCCACGCAAACACACATCTAGTCACAATAAGGCACTTGTCAAAGTATCTGAACGTTTTCGGTTCCTTCTCATCAAGGACTATACAGGGAATGGCTCAAGTTGGAAAGACTAAAACTTACATAGCATAAAGATAATGAGATGACAACACTCGTGACAAGGTGGAAAATTATCAAGTTCAGCACGACACAAAACTCGAAGGAAAATAATAATAGTGACAACAACAAAGTGAGCAAATTAAGTTACATTGTTAACACCTCGACGAGGAGTAACACCAAACTATTGTAGCGACAACACATTTTTTCTGCACGCAAAGTTCAGGATCTAATTACTTACGGATATACAAAGCTTCTAACACAGCCAAATGCAACGCACATCTACCATGTGACAATAGAGAGGTTCCGCATAACGTAATTACGTTAGTAAAAAACGTAGTCGATCTACGGAAAGTCTTACGTAAACTGCATGCGCATCTGTGTTCCGCCATACGGAGTTTTCAAATCACGTAGCTGCCCTTGGCAACTCCGAACGCGGCAGTGTACGACCAGATCGACCTGGGAAGAAAGTCATAAATTTGTACCCCAATCCACTTACGGACCAGCTACGTTATCAGAGCCCTATCTACGTACTCTCCGTAGACAACTTTCTGTAAGTGGAGTGCAAACTCGCGAATTCACGGGTTTTCCCCGCCCACTAACGTAAAGTTGCTCAACTTTACGTAGTGCGGAACCTCTCTAATATTGAGAAAACATTATCACTGTAAAACTTACGACAATTGGTACGGGCTGACAAATGTTGCTTGATTGACGAAATGCGACTCTTAGCTCCGTTGGGTGTTGTCTCCTCCAATGTCCCGACATCTCGCCTCTTCGCGGCACCACCACTATCCGCCTCTTTGCGTTTTCGCGGCCTTCCACGTTTCCTGACACTAGCCGTTGTGTGCGCGATACCCAGTGTCCTTTCAGCTACGTCTCCTCCATTGCGGATTTCTATTGAGCTTTCTTACTCCAACTTGTCCGGTGTCCGATATTGAGGTTCGTTTTCGTGGTCTACCACGTTTTCAAATATTGACTGTTGTTGTCACTTCTGTTGTCGTTGTACGTGCGTCCTCACCAGTCCGTATTTTTAAATTTGAATGAAACGGAGTTCGTAACACTTATGTTGATGGTCACGTCTGGTGTGGAGTTTTCATTCGACAATATAATGTACAAACAGACTGATGGAGTCGCCATGGGATCGCCTTTGGGACCAGTCTTGGCGAATATATTTTTTGGCTTCTGCGAGTCGTCTATCGACCCTTCACTTTGGCCATCAATGTACTGTCGTTTTGTTGACGATGTGTATTGTCACGACGACGACAAGGAAACCTGGGATAGGTTTATGGAAACTCTCAACTCCTTACATCCAGCATTAAAATTCACATCAGATGGTGAAAATAATGGTACCCTCTCTTTCCTGGATGGTAGGATTTCTCGTAACATGGATACGCACCATTTATAGAAAGCCAACTTTCACAGGCTTGTATATCCCAATGTCAAGTTTTACTCCAACCAAGTCCAAAACACACCTCGTCAAGGCCCTTGTCTACCGTGCACATAGGATATGTTCCCCTCATCTGGTGGACGAGGAACTAAAACGACTCTTAACGATAATGACAAAGAATGGCTATCCAAAGACATTGTTAATGAAACTCATCAACCAGAAAGCGACCATGGAAAAGACAATCACTTTTGGACCAGGGAGATGCCCTACGTTTGCCATCGGTTGGTGCCAGTTCTTCGTGCATTGAGAAGGAGGTGCGGAATATTGTTTCCTCCTCTCATCCGTGTGTCAAATTGTATGTCATCTTTGGGACGACCCGTGCGTTCAGCGTGCAGAAGGACGTTCTACCTACCCTAAGCAAAATTATATTTCTTTCAGTGCCGAAATTGTGAAAATTTGTACATAGGTAGAACCTTTCAGCACCTGGGCGCACGGATTCGTCAACGTGTACCGTTGAATCTTGTCATTGTAGCGGCACGTGGTTCTCGGCCTCGGCGTGGTCATCCGCCGAAGTGTCCAGTGCAGTCTGTGTCTGAGGTGGACTCGTACAACTCTGCTTTAAATACGCTTGCCGACCCCTCCTCCTCTTTGTCGGGCACAGGGCTGGAGCCAACCCGAACAACAGTCAACAAGAAGAAGAGACCGATACGGAAACCACTGAAACTGACATCTGAGCAATCGAGCCCCGGACGGGTCACCAGAAGCCAGTTGAGGAGACGAATTGATGAGGAGTCAAAAGAACCAATACTGGAAGTGACCACAACGGTTAATGTGAAGAAACGAGGTAGACCACGGAAGCAGGACAGACTGGACGTGGAGCAGCACACTGATGTCGACCCAGGCAATCGGAATTGCAGGGATGCAGGGCGTAATGGGAGAGACTGGCAAGTGGCAGGATCGGAGGTGACAACGACGAAGTTGTCGGGCCTGGGAAACAAGACATTGGCAATCAAGTGTCACCTGTCGGGCAGTGCTAGTTGTCGTGAGTGGTATTCCGATGATGTATTCTCTGTTTGGTCGTGTGGTAGGTCTTTGTTACATCTTGCCGTGTTGAAAGCTTTGTACATACGTAAGTTAGACCCTGAGCTTTGTGTTCAGAAGGAGAATGTGTTGCCTTTGCAGTAGTTTGGCACTGTTCGTCGTGCGAAAAAAATCTCATGATCTCTTGATATTCTCTCTCTTTTTCTTGTCACTACGTTTTGTCACTTATTTGATTTCCATACTGTTTTCTTGACTCTTCACATCTATTTTTTTTGTGTCACTTCTACACATAATTGGGGTGATGAATCTCTGAACTTCTTTTCTTTATAGTTGTAGTCTCTTAGCGTATTTCCATCATTCCCTGTAGTATTTTGAGAAGAAGGGAACGAAAACGTTCAATACTTTGACACATGTCCTAATTGGCTGGTGGTGACCATTTGAAATTATTATTATTGTGATGCCGCGATAGTACAATCATGTGCATGGAAGGTCCAGATTTCAAGTCTTAAAGACGTTCAAACACACCGACCTAAACTTGAAGCATTATTCCCATAGCTAGGCTAAAGACGTTACTTCACTTATGTCTAGCGCTAGCCAGGGTCCACATAGCTTTAATTCCCGTAGCTATGCAGAAGACGTTACTTCAGTAACGTCTGGCGCTAGCCAGGGTCCACACAGCTTTAATTCCCGTAGCTATGCAGAAGACGTTACTTCAGTAACGTCTGGCGCTAGCCAGGGTCCACACAGCTTTAATTTGGTGTTTGTTTGTTTGTTTGTGTCACGCCTGGCGCTATCCCGTATCTGTCCCGTACTGTACCGTACCAGCAAAGACAGCTGGCCACACTATTTTTTTGTTTGTTCCATCGACATGCCTGGCGCTATCCCGTACCTGTCCCGTACCATCAAGAGAATGAGTATGTGCGAAGTGTATCGGGGGAATGCATTCAGTGCAGTAACATTCTGTGTGCATTTGTGTGCGAGGCCGAGATCCCAGTAGCAGGCTGGCTGGGCCGCCTGTCGACCAGCCCGGGAATCGCATGTAGGCCGATAGCATAATAATTATAACGTATATAGATGTATAGCAGGGAGTCGTATTATGTAAACGACTCCGTGCTGTCTAGGGAGATTTTCTTGAAAGAAATACGAAGTAGGGAGATGAAGAAATGCAATTAGAATGGACGTTAGTTGCCGAATATGTGACATGATGCGTCAGCTAAAACGACCTTTGGAAGAGAGATTCCGT